TGCTAAAAAACAGAAAAAGAGAAAGAGAAAGGAAAAGAAAGAAAGAAAAAACAACACACCTTCTGGAGCAAGGTTCCGTCAGTTAAATGCCTCAGATTTATTTAACGTGGTAGAAAATGAGACGTCATTCATGTCTTCAGTTTGCAGCCCGGGAGTCAAGTTATCCATTACTCGGTCCTTATTTTTTTGTCCGTCGTTGTCTCATCCCGCACGTTGCCGTGTATCTCTATATTTCGGAATTCATTTCATATTAGTCGCTAATATCTCCTCAAGACGGAAACAAAGAGGGCTACACTTTTGCTCCCTGATATGCATTCGTTTCACATTCAGGACAGCAAACTTTATGGCTAGATCAACACGTACGTTAAAATTTCTCCTTTCTCACTTTTGCGGAACTTAACTCCAGTGTTCAAATTGCTTCTTCCACAAAGAGAAGTATACAAAATTTGATTTTTTTTTTCTCCAGTTTTTAGCCTTCAACCCTTTCTAATTCCCCCGGATTTCACCTAACCCGTCAACGTTCCTTGGGGTGAAGGTTTTTATGACAGTCATGTGCTGGTTTTCCGGATAGAAAAGACAGGGGTGACGAATCCGGCAAGCGTGAAGTTAAAGTCAGTGACAACCTCAACAAGCAATCTTGGATGCTAAACGTGGATTAATAGAACAACGTGGAGCTGAAATTTGAATTGGGATAGATTCGGAGCATTTTTACCAATTAGGTGCCATGCAGTTCGATTCCTAAAACTACCCTACCCGGTTGTATTGTTTTTCACTATGGACTGGTAATTAGAACATGTTATATCAAGTTCCACACTCATGGCCAGAATTTGGTAACAGCGTGCTTTCTAATATAAACCTAATCCCACCCTCAAAATCTAAAAGTAATACTTTTCTGAAACGTTCTGGTCGTTTGCGTTCAATTTGACCAGATGAACCGTCGGGCGGCGAAGAAAAGTTTTGCGAATTTTGCTTCGCTGGGAGATCAACGAATTCCGTGCGATTCAGCTCAAATAGAGAACCCACATGCAACGCAGGGCATCATGGATAGATTGGTCAGTTGCAGTCAGTCCAAGCACAGAGCTTAGAATGCACTGGAGCAGATCAGGTTTAAGGGGCTGGCCAATCATATCTGATAAGATCTAGCACGGCCCTTGGTTCATTGTAGGAGATAACGTTGTTTTGTGTTCGTTGCTAGCTAAGCGAGAAGCAATATAATAGGCGGGGCCACGTGATAGGGTAGCCGAGTATCCACCAACATTCATGCTGCTTACTCATCTCCTTGCTGATTAAGCTTCGTTTCCCAGCCAACCACTGCCAGCCCTTGTTTATATCCACAGATTGCGCCGTCGATATCGAGAATCCACATCGCTCCGCCCAGCTCCATCGTCTCTCAAGTCAGCTGGACTATTTGCTAGATTATGCTCAGCTGGGACTCGAACAAGCCTCTGTATTTTCCAACATATTCCAGCCGAGAAAAAAATATAAAAATTTTAAAAATTTTAAAATAGATATTGTTTTGTTCCCACGAAGGATCTCCCATTGTCCCCCTGCAATATTTGAGACGTCTGAGAACCCCTTCGTTGAACAAGACAAAGCGCATTGTAAATTGCGGCCAACCCGCCAATCTCCTCAATGGAGACCCTCTTGGCCCACTCATTTGACTACCTGTCATCTTACGATCAAGGAAAAATCCGCAAGGGACTGCGACAAGTCGAAGGACTGCTGGCACAAATATGTCTGTCGAGATCCAAAGTCGTGGCTGCTGACAAACGTCGATCAGCGCTCCCATTGAAAGTAAATCCAACACCCGCGAAACCTCTCAGTGAATTGAGCGATGACCCTGCTTTCAGAGAGTTCTTCAAGCTCCAAGAAGGCTTCCAATGGAATGGTAATAGCAAGAAAACCCCCGATGACAATCTAATCCAATCGCGAAAAAATCCAACAGCTAACACAACAATCGCAAACAATCCTTAGTCGCCATGCGCCTGATTTCTTGTCTCGAGCACCTTCTCGGCCGCGGTAGCAATGGCACAAACGACCTCCTCATAATCTCAACCCTTGATCTAATCCAAGGCACCCTCCTCCTCCACCCGCCATCCCGCTCCCTCTTCGCACGTGAAATATACATGAACCTCCTCCTCGACCTGCTCGAACCCGCCAACTGCCCCGCCATCCAATCCTCCACCCTGCTCACACTCGTAACTGCCCTCCTCGATAACCCAGCCAACACCCGGACCTTTGAAGCCCTCGACGGCCTCCTGACAATAACCTCACTCTTCAAGATGCGCACTACATCGCGCGAAGTAAAGCTCAAACTTGTCGAATTCTTATATTTCTATCTCATGCCTGAAGCTCCTTCGATACCCTCTGCAACTTCGGCCAGTGCGCCGAATACGGCTGTTCTCGGGCTTCAGCGGAGCCCGAGTAGGCTTGCTGGAGCTTTTTCCCGGAGTGTTCAGAGCATGGGGGATGCGGCGATGGATGGGCGAGGTGATACAAAGACGACAGAGGAGAAACAGGCACTGTTGGGGAGGTATCTGAATAATGTGGAAGATTTGGTTGAGGATTTAAAGGAGACGGCGCCGTTTGGAGGGACTGTTTATTGATTTCGTTTCATGTACTTCTACTTTTCGTTCTTCTACCTTTTTGGAAATCGCTATGCCCTGTAAGGCATGTGTGGAGCAAATTTCTTTTACATTTTAACCAGCCCCAACTTTTTCTTTTCTCACTTTTCATATGTTTGGCTAGCTTTTCCCGTTTCCCCATTCCACTGGCTTATTCCCTGCTACGGAGACGATGTTTCTCCGCAACTGTAGGGCGTTCATGGCGCATTAAGGCTTCACAAACTTCCTTCTGTTTATATGCAGAGCCTTTTAGAGTCGAATATTCGACGTAGAATTGTCGACTGTATATATTATTATTTCTACCATCACGCACTTTTCCTTTTTAAACTCATTCAACCCTTTTGAAGTAATAATGGAATCGAAAATGAAAATTTAGCTGTTCGCTGCTGTTATTGCCAGCCATTTATTAACCGTCGATCAGAATATTCTAGCCATCGTCATAAACCTTGCTCCACACGTAGTGGATACACATCCTGGATTTTATAGGTGACATCTTTCATGACACATGATACTGTCAGATCCACCTGTCAATCGCTCAACCTGCTCTTTGAAATGTTTATCGCAGTGAGCGCTGAATATTAAGCTCTGTGCCCCTGTCTGTACACTAAAATGTGGGGTAAAATATGGACCAACCAATATATATATATATATAGTAAAAGAAAAAGAAGAAGAAAAGAAAAGAAAAACATGCAAAGTTTGAATTGTGAGTATTTATGACTCAAAACCGCACCCTGCCATGATGACTTTAGAGCTAGATGCAAGCTTCAACTGTAGGAGATAATAATAATAAACCCCACACAACAATTCCAAACTCATTCCTCTTCAATTCACCATTAGCAACATCCACGCACATGCATGAATAGGTAAGTATTTTATAACTTTGGTTAAGTTCAAAGAGACCGTTGTTGACATTTGAAAAAAAAAAAAAACTCCCGCAACACACTCGAGATGGCTGGGAATCCAACCCCCTACGCGTCACCACCAACATCAACAGCGGATGTCAGAAAGATTAAATATATGAACACAATTGATGCGTATGACCAGTGGGCTAAGGCAAGTGCTTTCTATTTAGTACTTCGTTTTTTTTTTTTTTTTTTTTTTTGTTTGGTTTTGGCTCGGATAGCTGCCATGTCGTTACGTACACTCCCGTTGCATTTCAAATCCATTATCAGGGGCAAGGGGAGAAACAGGAGTGCATCCACGTAGCTCCAAAGCGCCAATATTCACCAGGCTATATCTAGTACACCACCGCACTGAAAAATGAAAATTTATAAAATCCCATATCACAGAGTCATGTATATGCATACAACTCCCAGCACATGAAAATTTTTTTCTTTTTTATTTCCACAACAAAGCCCATTGGGAAAAAAACTCCTTAACACTAAAACCCAGCTAACTAACCCTTCCCCTTATAACAGGTCTACGACACGGATGGAAACTTCCTCCAGGCCCTCGACACGCTTCAAATGCAATCGTTGCTTCCTAAATTTATCTCCCTCCTCCCCAAAATCAACTCCAATACCACAACCAGCGCGCCCAAACTCATCGACCTTGGCTGTGGCACGGGGAGGAACACGATCCCGCTCCTCCGCGCCGCCCCCACCGATGCAACAATCATCGGCCTGGATCCATCAAGTAAAATGCTCCAGATTGCTCAGGACAAGGTATCTGCATATCTTGCCAGAGTTGCTGATATTCCACCGGCAGGTGTAGTAGATAAGCAACGTGATGCGGGCCCAGAAGACGAGGGGCGAGTAAGTTTCCAGATATTTAACCTGCTCGACTTTAACTGTGCTGCGGAAGGAGCGGGGGGAGTGACAGGGCCGGCTGATTCAGATGGTGTTATATCCACACTTGTCGTCGAGCATGTGCCTGTAGATAAATTCTTCAGAGCGGCAGCGGGTATGTTGAAACGGGGTGGGGTGTTGCTAGTCACGAATATGCATTCGGAAATGGGGCGGATTAGTCAGGCGGGATTCGTAGACCCAGTGACTGGGGTGAAGATTCGCCCGACAAGTTTTGCGCATACGGTTGCGGAGATAGTCGAGGCGGCGGAGAGGGTTGGGTTTGAAGTTGAGGGAGATATTAAGGAGGTGAGGGTTAATGAGGAGTTGGCGGGGAGGTTGGGGCCCAGGGCGCAGAAGTGGATTGACGTGCAGGTGTGGTATGGGGGATGTTTTAGGAAGAGGTGAAAGGGTTTGGTTTTCGGAGTGGGCTTGAGGAATAGTTGGGAGGGAAGGGGGGAATGAGAAAATAGACACCGGATTCACCAGTGTTCTCATTACTGGTCAGACGGCAGGTATTTCACATCCAATATGAAAGAGAGCAAGCATATTTGTATACAAGCCATAGCTCAAAGAGATTGGTTATAATGGTTTAAAAGTATGCTTCCAGTAACCGCTGCCGATGTTGTACAAGGTTTGGATGTTTTCTGAGGTATCGTCCCAGAGGATTGTGTTTCCAACCCAGGTGCTCATCTAGTAATAAATGAGTATAAGCGAATACACTAGCATCAAATAGTCCGGGTTCAAGATTTCCAAAAAAGTGGTTATCTTCTCCTAATAAAGTAGATAGTGCTTGGAATGCGCTTTTGGCTTCCGCTTCGAGATCGTCCACGTCTATAAATGAGGATGATTTGAGGAGTTCGTTACGTGCAGCTTGCTGAAGTTGGTGGGCCAACATAGCTCGAACAATGGTGTTTGAGGTCGACGGATCAATATACAGTTTTCGCCCGATGTTGTTAAAGTTTTGGCTGTCTATATAAAAGGTGTACACCTATATGAGGTTATGGTTAACTGGGGGTTCGAATGGCATTGGAAAGATTTGGAACAGTGGGAGGGCGAGAAGTTTCATACCCAGGCATTTCGTACTCTGTGGTCCAGAAGAGACATGTACACGTCAAATCGCGAACTTAGCTGCTGGTCATCTTTGACATGGGTTTGTTCAATAGCCCACTTTTGGATCTTGTTCGAAGGAATTGGCAGCAGTGGATCAACGGAAGTGGCAACGGAAGACAGCGCTGGGAGAAGGAATGGAAGAGAACCAGTTGGTGATGCATGGTTATTAGACGCAACTGTCTCGAATGCAATGCCAACGAACTTGAGGTACGCCTGGCAAAATCCCGCAGATGTCAGTCCAACCAGCAAGCCGACAGGCGTTAGTCTGGACACAGGGGCTTGACTTACCTGCCACTTTAAACATTGCGGGTTGAACGATGGAGCTCCCCGTCGCGCCCCCTTGGTTGTAGTAAAGACGAACAAAGAGTTCTTATCTGATTGACGTGGAATGCGTTGGGGCAGTTCCGTTGGAGGATAGGTTCTCAAGGGGAACTTATCGAAGACACTTTTGATTGGAGCGGGCACGGATGGAAATCGGGTGGCAAAGCCGGGGACAGATTGGGCTTGCGAGGTAGCTGCAGCGTCATCCTCTGGCATGGCTGAAGTGCATTGGGATAGAGAGAGAACAGTTGGGAGCGCCGTGCCGTACTGACAAGCGATGAAACCTGATGGTATGTTTGGATAACCAGCTAGATTATTTAATTATTTTTTATTTTTATTTTTATTTTTATTTTTTACCTTTACGTATTTTTCCGCCCGGCAGCTTACCTCAGCCATCAACCGTTAACTAGTCAGTTACCTCAGCCGTCAACGGGTTGGGAGAGAGACCCATGGAAAGCCACCATCCGCAGTCGAGCCTAGCTCCAATGAAGAATGGGGGTTGGCGCCCACGTGATAGGCAGATTTGGAGCCCGACCAAAAGTCGCCGATAAAAAAAGGGCAGCGCTAACCAGATCTGGTGTCCAGGGCAGGCAGCACCCGCCGGATTGGGACTCGCTTCTGCCAGGGTGCTGGAGGAACCGTCATCGGGGCTTTGCCAGGACGGCTTTTTACTGCCAGATCTCTCTCTCTCTCTCTGACGGTTTGCGCCACATCGCTGCCCATACAGTATCTATCTGCCCCTGGTTTCCTGCATCTCTTCTTCCGCCCGATTGCATCTTGCTGGCTCGTATCATATGGGGAGTCCGTCTAGCGGTACAGGGGTTCCTGTCCACAACCCTATATATTTCATAAGCTAGCCGTTAACATCGTTGCCTCCTGTTACGTCTGCCAACTCGACTGGTCGACACGTGAAGGGGGAGGAAGCAATCTAGCGCTTATCCTCGATACAACAGCTGCCCTGGCTGGTCCCAGCAGTAGCGCGGGTTTGGTGGGGCTGCTGAGTAAAGGCTCTTTCCGCTGCTCAGTTTATCACCGAGTATTTCTGCTTTTGAGATCACTATTTCATTGCTGCGGAAGACCGGCTGTAAAGGTTGTTGAAAGACCAGAGATATACCTTTGGAAAGCGGTACACCAGCGTTGTCAGGAGCAGCGGTGCCCTTATGCCTTTAGATGAAGAGGGAGCGAAATGGTCGTGGTATGTTTCTCGCCCTATCCTGCGTCCGTATTCGAAACATTAACAACAACACGAACAACCATTTGACTCACAAGGAAATTGCTTATCCAGTGAGCCCTGCGTTCGCGGCCACCGATCTTCGAAATGTCAACACTTCGATCGCCTCATGATGAAGGTGCCAAAGGCTGGACGGCCGCTCGCCAAATGCCCTCATCCGAAGGGCACATGTAGCTGCCAGAAGTTGTACGCCTTCATGGTCCGAATTCCTAAGGGTAAGGCTGAGAAAGAGGCTTGGCTTTTCGTTGCTCTAATAGCTCTAACTCTTGTGGACAGGGTCGAGTTGTTTATGCCGACCACTCTATCAGGTCCCCATGGTCGTAACAGAGTCCGGGACATCAGGAAAACCGGTGGCCGGTCTTCCTGCTGTATCAGCTTCCTCCATCACCAACACAAACCGTATCCAAAAACGTTCGAGTCGCCGAAGTAGCCTTCAAACTGCCCCGGAATTGATTGCGAAAGTTGTGGACGAAATGGAGACCGCGTCTAACGACAATAAAGTGTCCAGCTCCCCTGCACGGAACGTTCGATGTCCTTACAAAACTGAACGGTATTTCCTGCCTCCTCGAACCTCGGCTGATTGTTCCAACGGCCAATCACCAAACTGCGGTCTCCACCTCCCAGATTTACTTCCAACCCAGCCTCAAGCCCAGGGGTCTGTCATGGAACCTCCATCCACCAACGACGGTTGTTGTGCTTCTAAGAGCCCAATGGAACCTTCCTCTCAGCCGTCCCGTTCATGCTGTTCTACAAATAGCCCAAAATCAGAAGAGTTTGATGCGACTGTTGGGGAGTTCAAGCAAGAAGACGGCAGCAGATCTTCTCAGCAACCCAACCCTCATCAATCTTCACATACTATTCCACCAGATCGCAATTGGGAACGTCGATCATTTCTAACACCAGATCTTTCTGTACAGACTCAAGAGCGACATAATATTCTACCACATTTTCCAAATAGAAATTCGATTCCTCATTTCCAGATGCGTGGGTCATCATCTACCCCCGTAACGGGTTATCCCTCTCCGAATGCTGTGTCTCAATACCACCCAGTCCACCACCCGCAAAGCCCTTTTCCCCCCTCGAATATACCCACTGTTGCTTTTCATTCCCCCCGACTTCCAAACGACTCTCAGTTACACAATTGTGTCTGTGGGGATGATTGTCAATGTTTGGGTTGTGCCTCTCACCCTTTCAACAAAACCACACGAGAGCACGTACAGCAAATGGGTTACCTGTTGAATTTTGCAGATGATGATCAGCAGTCTGAACGAAGTGACAATAATGCCAACAAGCCATCCTTTGACGGCCCACCAGTGCCTGCAGAGTTCGAATATCACAATTGGTCACCAAGTAGCCTTCCATTCCAGGATTCTCATCAGCTACCTTGGAATGGCCCACACACAGGACCCACTCTTAACGGCTCCGGATCACCCTCATCTGGTGGCCCCACTGTCTATAACTCAAACCATGGCGAAATGATGATGCAGCCTGCCGCCTATTACGAGCTGGAATACCCCGCCGATTATCTGGACCCATGCACCAACATGACAGGAACCTGTCAATGTGGCATTAACTGTAGCTGTGTTGGCTGCTTGACCCACAGCGGACACGATGGCGTTCAACTTGAGCTCTCTCCTCCTCCGGATACTACCCTAGAAGGAGCAGTTACCGACACTGCAAAGTCCGTGCCGCCGTCCACACCGTATTCCCCTAGTCAACTGAACGGTGACATCAACCCCTACCTCAATCATGAAGATTTGGCAATCCAAATTCAAAACTCAGCACCCAGATCTCCTCTTCCTGCTTAACAGGTGTAGTGTGTTCCGTGCCGATTCCATCCGTCGGCCTCTGTTTTATATATATATATATATTGGGACTCCACTTTCCATTACTATTGCTGTTTCATTTTACCTTCATTTCGTCAAGAAATTGAGCCACGCACCATATTACGATGTCAATGATACCCCCATACAACGCTTATAGAGAAGGCCACCTAATTGCAAAAGTTTTGTATTTAATTGCTCAACCCACACACACACACACACACACACCCTTTTTTTTTTTTTTTTTTTTTTTTTTTGTTTTTACTGTACACCCCTGTTGTAGCCTTGGCTCTATTTACCATTACTTCACAGTGGTGAATATTCACTGGACGGATATATGGGAACCACGCCACGAAACCGCTTCATGGCTCTTATGGCACTTATATTCTTTTTAACCTCTGTACAGTCTGGTCAGTGGTCAGTCCCTATTATTACACTGCATATATTTACATCTGCTTTCCGCTTGAGTTTTGCTCCTTGTGCATCATCATCACCATTGCCAGGGTGTAAGGGCCTTTTCAACTGGCATCTCTATTCTTGAGATTAAAGAGGGCTAACTATTAAATTACTATGCCTATTTCAAAGAGATTCTTATGAACATGTGCCGACATTGAATAGCCTCTAGTATCATGCCAAAACAATCAACCCTAACATCAACATTAGTCTATAAAACTCTATGACAAATATGACAGAATGTTTCTCATGCACATTTTATGTATGTATCCATGTGTAAATACCTGGACATGAAATCATACAATAATGAAGTTCTAGCACGTCACAGCTTAGCCTTGGACCTCAAATGGAAAAGTAGGAAATATGGACGAAGGACAACAAACAGGACGAAAATTGAAAAGACAAAGAAAATTGGCGGAACTCATTCCCACCCTCTATATAGATTTGTCTATTTTGCCTTTTTTTATATATATATATATGGGGTGTAGGGAATTGCGTAAAGTTTAAAGGTGTAGCTACATTAACTTTCCGTTCCGTGTGGGATTTGTTCCATTTTTATACAAATCGGGTGCCTAAGTGTCACATCACAATCTTTTGCTATATCTTGGGAATACGTACACCCATTTCTCCTATTTTCCTTGCTTTCCCCCCCCCCCCCCCCCTCTCTCACTTTTCTTCCCCCTCTCGTTCCGTCTCGTCTTCACGATTTCGTTTGACGGAATGCGTTTGTGTTGTAGAATGATTGGTCGCCTCGTCGGAATGATGCTGTGTTTGTTGTAGGAAGAGATGGTGGTTAGCCTCGTTTCATTTCTTTTCATCATCCTTTTATTTTCCTTTTCCGGGTAGGCGGAATTAGGTGAGGCGAAAGGAAGTCCGGGCGGAAGTTCATATATGTCTTTTTCATCCCGCAGAGCAGCTGCGACAGGGGGGGAATTTGGGGTAGATGTCGGGGCACCGAGAGGTCTCGGGGATATTTTATTTACCATCTGCTTCTTCCCAGGCTCGTCCAGCACCGAAACCTAACCCAATCCATGCAGGCCATGCTCTCCGTTTAAATAAAAGAACTGAGAAGATGACACCGAACGAGACGCCGAGGGTGGAGCGGATGATCATGGAGGATATGGCGCGGTCCCACTATTTGTCCATGCTCATGGTTTTGAGCTTTGATATTAGCCATTGAGGATTGTAATTGGTATAAAGGTTGTAGTCTGGTGTTTATCCGCGTCCGTACCTTGTCATTCAACAGAGCCTCGCTGAGCGGCTTGGTCGATTGCGGCACCACGGGTTTGGATTCGTTGGAGTCCGCCATGGTGTCTGGGAGGGGAAAGCTGAAGGTCCGTTGTTAGTATATATAACCTGCAAGTTGCAATTGGGGGGGCTAATGTAGTTTACTTGTGTGAATGTGCGGAGGCAATTGGGCGGCGGGCGCAAAAGGTGTTGCTGAACGGCCTGTTGCGGGTGTATCTCCTCAGTTTATCCTGTCTATATCTTTCCTGGTCGGATTAATTCATCTGTGACGGGCTCGGATCGGAATCGGAAAAACGTAGTTAGTACCGGAAGCTGTGCACGGGCCACTTTACTTCACTTCGCGGGTTAAAAAAACAGTTACATAGGGTGGAACATGATAATATAAACCACACAACGCTACGCTCCGAGTGGCAGTGCGCTTTTACTATGGCTCCAACTCTGGAGGTGAGTGATTCTCCGGTTGAATAGTTTTATTTTCAATTTATTCTTTATGGAGAGAAGAGATGCTAACGTTTAGCCCGCTTCTCATGAAGTCTCCCGGTTCCGCCCACCGAACTCTGCTAGAGCTTGAGAAAGGTACCAGTGGCCCCGCAAGCCAACTGCTGGAAGCTGCGCGGGTAATTGGGGTGGATTTGTTTCCTTCATGTGATTCAAGGACGGCGGACAACAGAGGCACTCCAGCTACTGGTGCGCAGGCCAAGAAGCAGAAAACCTCCGCGCCGAAGGAGGAATGGGTCCTGCGATGGCTTCTGAAAAAATTGCGAGCTTCCGCACAACAAGGGCAGTCGCAGTCGAGCTACAGGCTAGATGTGAAAACGTGGATCCTTCTTCGACTGCTCTTCGATCGTATCCCCGTGAAAACATTAGCGTTCATTCTCACTGAAAATAAATTTCTCTCGATACTGAAGGATTCTTTGTATGACTTGGCCAATAACGCATCGACTTTCCATCCCGAGCGGCCTATTGCACAGGATGCACAACAATCTGAATCGAGTGTGACGATACATGAATCTCCTGTGCCTGTGGTGTCGAACAGAGGAAAGAAGAGAAAGCGGACTGAGAATGGGGGGGAACTTGTGGAGCCGACTGAGAGTACATCCGGTTCGTGGATTGATACGTTTTACGCCATCTTGTATTCCGTAAAAGCTCTTGTTGGTTTGTCGGAACAAGCCCTGGAAGATAAATCGACGATTAATTCACAGCTAAAGCTCGTGCTCAGAGGAGAGCCACAATTATCGGCGGCAATTCTGGGACGCTCCTTTGAATTAGCCCAAAAGGCAGTGGTGGAGTGGCATACAGGAGTTTCCGATTTTGGGATACAGTTGCTATTTGCCTTATCCTCTGTGCTGGATATTTGGAGGCTTAGTTCTGAGCGTCTGGGTGACGGCACTGACTTGCCAAGCAATGTAGGTGGTTGGATTTCTACTCTCCTCAATTGGTAATATACTTACTGAGATACTCAAAAACAGGATACGTTCCCGCCGCTATGTTTGTTAGAAGCATTAAATATCCTAACGGCTCTGCAACATTTTACTAGTGAATCAGCCGAAATTAAAAGTTTGAGACAGGGCATTGAACAGCTTGTCGTCCTCCATTTCATCCTCCCTGTCCGCCAGTCATTTTTCTCAGAACATTCTAAAGAGTCTAGGAACGCCAATGATAAACTTGATCCCGCCCAAATTAAACTCGTCTTCAAGGATATTAGCTCACGTTGGAAACAGTCTCAGGATATTTCGAATACAAAACTATTGCCCACATTGCTGGACATTGCCATTCGTGCAGTTCCTAGAGACACCTTTAGGAGACAAGAAAACGAAGCTCCTTGGCTTGAGACACTTTTTGTGGTACTATCGACCATCGCCGGATGCCCTTTATTCGAGGACGTCGTATGGAATAAAACCCATCGGCATATCCCGATTTTTGAAAGCCTCTTACAAGTTACTATCGATAGGAAAGTAAACATTTCTCTTGACACCGTAACCCTGTATGCAACTCGATTTTCTGGTCTTCTCGACATTCAAACCGAGCAGATTGTCCAATGGTCGTTAATATCGAAAATAATTCGGGCGGGAGTCGATGTGTTTCTTCCCAACTCTGGAATTGACGAGAGTAATCAATTGCTTAGCAACCTTCTTAGCCAAATTACATCGTTATGGCTGGGTAACAACGTTATTTCAAGTGAAATATACGAAATTATTAAAATTGGCATTGTTATCCCCCTACTCAAAGGGTTTGCTGTTGCAAGGGATATTGGTTCATTCCTGGATATCTGGTCAGAGCAACTGAAATCCCTCGAAGCTGCTCGTTTAAATGGGGCAGATATATCCTACTTCTCTGTCTGGGAGGATGATGATCTTGCAGCAGCGTATAGACCGCTGGTCGCGGACCTTTTTTCGGAGAATCAGACCAGAGATCATCTCCAAGATATTTTAACACAACACTCATTTGAAAGCGAAAAGGACTCTGCAAACCAGTATGCGGTTATCGTGCTTCTCGATGCTATTTTGAGATCACCATTGCCTGACAACGACTCACTGTTCCGAGGCCAATTATTGGCCCAGATTTTTAGTATAATATCGAAATCAATAAGATTGAAACAGAAACAGAAATGGAGATGGCGTCTCTGGCGCCTTTCTCAACGATTTGGTGATCAGCACGTCTTGTCAATGGGTGATTTGACCACCTATCTTCGCATGGACCTGCTACCTAACGCAGTAAGCTTATTGCAAACCTTTCATAGGGGCACTGAATCGGGCAAATCTAGAAACGATTGTCTTGAAGCTTTCGAGGCTTTCAAACTTGTCGTGCTAGCTGCTGGAAAGGCAGATAGTCCTCAGTACAGAGAATTCTTGAATACAATAATCCCGTTCATTGTGCCTGCGTTTAGCCAAGTTGCTAAATCCACGGCACCCGCCTGGAATGGGCGAGCAGAAACCATGGTTTCACCTTCATCCGTCTGCATTGGATATCTAGTTGCCCTGCTAGCGACACCCGTGGCCGTTTCTCGTCTTACATCTGAAAACCGCAGGCTGCTATTTAACAGTATTCTCACAGCTGCGGAACATGCTGAATCAGATGTATTGGTTTCCTTCTCAGCGCAGACGACAGTAGAAAGTCAATTACTCGAAATATGGCGCTCATTCGTTTCTCACGATTGGTTACTAGGTGCACCCGCGGCGGTTTACGAAGTTGTTAATACACTTTACCATAATCTCAAAGAAAGATGTATCCCTGACAATCTATTAATATCAAGCCTTTTGAGCATTCCAACCCGGTTAATTCCA